AAGGGTGATGTCATTTTGTTCAAAGATTCGAATTCAGTGGAAAGAGGAGTCTAGATTGTATCTGGATGAGCAGTAAACAAGGGCTAATATCGTGATTCTCATAGTTCCGTGATTTCCAAACACCAGACTTTGGTGTTAAACAGTAACGTGAAAAGCGTCCTGTACAGCGCTCTCAAAACACCTGGGGATGTGCAACACTGCAAAAAACGTGGTCATTTTAGCTCTTGAAGAGACAGCGCCATCTATCTAAAAAACACCGCTTTCAAAAAGCTCATTTCTCCAACAGCAATGCCAAAAATATATTGTTTTTAATGTTTGTTTTTATACCAAATTTAAAGTGTAAGCACAAAAAGCCCCAAGAATAGTCAGCTACCACACCTTGTAAAATAGAGAATTTGCAAATCAAAGGATCAAACCTGAGAAACTCAAGAGAGTCAAAAATAGTATTTTATCTTAAATATGTATTTTTTGGACTATTAAGTTAAATAGCACTTTTACATTAATCTTTTTTAAATTGTTTATTGATATATTTTAGGTATATATCCTGATGACATTCATCATAGAGAATTTGTATCAATACATGATGTATCTTCTTTTTATTTTCATTCCCCTACCCTACTTTCAACCCATTTCCCTCCTTATGTACCAAGAGTTTGTTTCAAATAAAAAAAAAAATGGGGCTGGGGATTTGGCTCAGCGGCATGGGCGCCTGCCTTGCAAGCAGGCAGTCGTGAGTTCGATCCCTGGTACCACTAAAAACGAAAAAGACAAAAAAAAGAGTTTGTTTCCATTTTTCCTTCTTTTCTTGTTTCTTTTTTTCCTTTCCTCCCTTTCCCCTTCTCCCCTTTCTAGCTCTCCTTCCCATTTGAACATTTTCTTCCTATTCTATAATATCTATTATATATTTTGGTCCTTATTTACTCTTTCAGTTTCTCATACCAGTGAAACAATGTGGTATTTACATATGTGTGTCTGATTTATTTCACTTAAGGATACAACCTCAAGGTGCATCCATGTAGCTAAAAATGACTCGAGTTTATCCTTCTTTATGACTGAGTAGTACTCTATTTGTTTTTTTAAAAGCATATCTTTATCCATTCATCAGCTGATGGGTGTTTGGGCTGTATCTAAGAATTATCTATTATAAACTTGCTGCTGTATATATGGGTGTATATATGTCACTGTGGCATGATGTTCTTAATCCTTTCAGGAAGATATTAAGAAACAGAATAGTTGGATCAAGTGGAACCTTTAGTTCTAGTTTTTTGAGGAATCTCCACCCTGATTTCCATAGTGGTTACACTAGTGTATACGGCCACCAACAGTTGAGAAAGAATGCATTTTTCCCCACAGCCTTACTAGCATTTTTTATTGGTTGATTTTCTGATAATAGTCATTCTTACTGGAATGAGATGGAACCTCATCACTGTTTTCATCAACCCCGAGCCAGCCATCTCTTCACAAATTAATAAAACTCAGGTCTGGCCCTGGGTCATGAATTGTGGCACACTTGCCATTGCTTATAGTGGACTTAGGACATCCCCTCCCCCCCACCACAGCCTTGGCTGCCCACAACCTTAGATATTCTCCTGCCTTAGCCTCCCAAAAGGTTGGGATTACAGGCTTATGCCATCTTGCCCAGTTATAAACTCTTCTTTCAAAGGCAGTTATCTCTAGGTCTGTCATCTTACCATACTTAATTAAAATAAATCTTAGATTCACATTAAAATAGTCTAAGTGTGTTATTTAAAAATTGTGTACTTGAATCTTTCAAGTACTTTCAATCAATAGTTGTTATAGTTGATACATGTGTCTACTTGAGTTTAGAAGTTTAACTGAGAGACTTAGCAGGGAGCCAGTATCCTTACTTTGTAAACATTCTCATCCTGTGCAAGTGGAGGGCGCAGATATTTTGAATGCTACACCCACCCTGGGCAGGGGGGAGTGGCCTGTGTACAAGAGAGAGGATGAGAGGTTCATTTCCTGCTTTTGCTCTGGCTGCTACCTTGAAGTGTTGCCCCAGTGCCATGCCACCCTGCCTTAGAGCGAGCTGATTATGGACTGAAACCTCCAAAAACTGAAAACTAAAAAAACCTTTCCTTCCCTAATTTTTGGTGTCAGGTGTTTTGTCCCAGCAAGGAGAGAAAGTACCCAACACACTAGTTTTAGCAGAAAAACACTGTCTTCTAATATGTATCAATCAGTTCATTCATCCAAATAAGCTATACAATAGTAGGCATCACTAGAGAGATAACAATGGAAAATTAAATCCCTGCTATTATGGAATTTATATTGTATGAATTATACTGATAATTGACTTATCTTTTATTTCATTTGAATCCCTATGTTTCTTCCCAATGGTTCATGTATATTAATATCCCATAATATTTGCTGAATGAGGGGATGACTGAAGTCATTTTCTCTGTCCTTTATTACTGAACAATGCTTTACAGGTAAAAGATTTTTAATGGGCTTATCCACCTGATGAAGTCCTGAACAATACAGTAATTCAAGCATACGGCCTTTACTCAATGAAGAGGTTTAATCTCCAATCACCAGTAATACCTGGGGCAGACATCATCCAACAATTATCAAACCTAGCATAAAAAAAGAGAAGCAAGAATTAAGAGTACCTAAAGGGAGATAAATAAAACTTATATTTTCCTACCCTGATTCAATGATTTATGAGGCAAATATTGTGTATTAAAGCAGGCCCCATGTGTGTAAGGTGGAACGGGGTGAGGCATTGAGAGTGCTGATACTATTCACAACACTCAAATAAGTCATGTAAGACATTAAGTGGTAACTAGTTGTGATCTCAAATCCTAGAAGTTAGCTCTGACCTTTAGTTTACATTTCTTGCAACTAAGAAATTGATTTATATTTTAAGTGTGTGTGCCATCTAACAAGGAATGATGAGAATCTGAGAAAGGTAGTGGTGAATATCTGTAATCCCAACACTTTTAAGGCTGAGGCAGGAACATGGCTACTATTTGGGATCCATGACAATTCCTCAAAGATCCATATTCAGAAACTCTCTGCTCCAACAGAAAAGAGGAGACTTGCTCCTGATTGGCAAGAATTGCCCTCTCAATTTAAAGAGCTACTCTCTTCCTGTCAAGACCACCCTGAGACTGACACTCAGCTTCCTCCGGCCCTGAGCTCTTTCCACTGGCCCATCCCCACCCTGAGGAGCAGACTGTTGCTGACTTTCTTTCATTTGTACTGCTGTGTGTCCTGCTCAGTTCTTTTTTGGGATACCAAGAACCCTGGACAGTCCCCTAGTAGTAAGGGAATTACAAGCTCTTGCCCAGCATGGGAAACTTAAGACACCTTATCTCAGAAATTTAAAAAAAGAAAATAAAGGGCTGGGGTGGAGCTCAATGCAAAGGTCTTGGGTTCAATCCCTAGAATAGAAAAAAAACCTATAGTATTTCACACATTTCCCCAGAGGGTCTGCATCTTCAGGAGAGGCTGGTCCCCTCCTCAGCCCTGGGATAGAAATCTTAATTTCCTCAGTCCCCTGGCCTAGGTGTGGGAAGAGAGTTTCCCTAGTCTTAAAAAAGGGGGCAGGGAAATAAACGAGGGTGATGCACTTTCTTTTTTGCTTCTGACATCTATAACTTGGAACTGAAAGAGCGACTTTGGGTGCATAAGGGAATTAGACTGGAGAACAAATCAACACAGTGAAAGATGGCAGAAAAAGGAAGAGAAACTGAGTCCTGGACAATGTGCTAAGACACTAAATTAGCTAATGGGAGAGGCCTCTCTTCCATGAACACAGTTATGTAACTTTTTTTAAAAAAAAAGATTTTACAGTAAAAACATTTAAAAGTTCCCACTGATGCAATGCAAAGTATTTTTACCTGGTATATCTTCATTCTTTTAACAGTTACATTCCTAAAAAGTAGGCTTCTTAAATATCTCAATATAATATGGTGTAATTGGTTGAATGCAAAACTAACTGAAAATTTCTTCTTTTTAAAAAAAACAATGTATTTCGAAAATTTCTTTTTACACTGGAGCTGTTCCTTGGACTAAAAGGTAAAATCAGTTTCCCCTTTTCATGAACCTATTAGTCTACCAATGAAATACAATGTTACACAGTGCCAGATCCAGATCCACTCTTTGAAAGACAATCACCACATAAGAAAGCTAGTCTAAACTCCTGAATCACAGAGACTAGCTACAGGAAGAGAGGCTTTAATAGAGAATCACGCAGCTCCAGGCAAATGGCAGTACCAAGACCCCGGCACTGTAAGTGACGCCATTTAACCACAGTTAAGCCACTAACACTGACATCTTAAAGCACAGACTAGAAGTATCTGCTACAGCCTGCCTGAATTCCTGGCCACATAAATTATGAACAGTAAAACATCTGTTATTTGTAGTCACTAAGTCTTGGAGTGATAGTTTATACAACAGTAGATAACTGGAAAACAAAGTAGTAGTATTTGTTTTCTTCTTTTTAAAATTGCTGTTGTCATTTCAGTGATTAAGAATCACTGAGTTATTAAAAGCGCTGGATGCTAATGAACATTTGTTTCCAAATGTCTGTGGTTTCAATGTCTTAAGGGAAAACTTGCTTCTGTATATCATCATTTTATCATTTTAATTAACATTTTAAAATTAATGAAATACAACTAAGTGAAAAATACTTATAACAACTAAATTGAACAACTAAACAAGTAAAAACAAATAACAAATGAAAATAATAACACCTTGATTTCTTAAAATGGGGAAAGCCAGTTCTCTGAAGAACCATGGTGAATTGGTCAAATTAACACGAGGAAGTATCTTCACTTCTCAAGTTCAGTAAAACTGCAAAGAAAAAATAAATGATAGGACGCAATGCTATCCAGTGAAAAGTGCGGAAATCACTTAGAGGCAGAAGCCTGGGGACTCCAGTGGGGACGCGCACACCCCTGGTCACCATCTGCGCGACTCTGAGCATTGCCTAGGGCTGTAAAGAGGGGACGGTACGGCTACTGCCTAGAGCTGTCGTAACTCTCAAGTGATGTGCATGTAGCGCGATAGAAGGGACCGTCACTTTTGGTTCAGCCCATTCGTCCGCGCGTCTACTTTTGCCAGAGATAGTGGGAAAGAACTGGAATTACAGGACAATCAAGTTCGCGAAAAACTGGGAGAGGATGAGTCGGGAATGACCTGCCTGACTCTGAGATAAGTGATGGGGGAAGGCCAGGGTGGGAGGCAGTACGGGAGGCAGAAGCGATCACCGAAGTGTGGCCCCCTTCCACTAGGACCCAGCAGAACACAGCTCACCCTCTCCCGACCCTCGGGACTCGGCCAGACCCGAGCCCGGGAGCAAAGTATAGGGAGGGTAGAATCCACGGCGCTGATTGGCTGCCTGCGAGAGAGGGGCGGGGCGGGCAGAGGCTACAGGGTTCGCGAGCGGAAGACCGCGGGCGCGCACTTCCGGTCTTTGTGGCTGGCCTCTCGGGTCTGCAGCTTGGGCCCCGGCTGCTCCTAGGCTTCGCGGTGAGGGACGCGGGCCCCGTGGCGGAGGGAGGAAGGGCGGGGTGGACGCGCGGCGCCGGCCCTGGTGGAGGTGGAGGTGGAGGAGCCCGGCTTCTCAATAGGCCGCCCCGCGTCGCGGTTCCTTGGTCCGCGGTGACAGCGGTGCCGTTTCCCTTCTCCCGTGACTCCGCAGATGCTGTGGTTTAACCAGAAACACAAAAACGGAAGGGCCGCGTGCAGCAGGTTCCCAGTGAGCCAGAGCTGTGTGGCCCGGATAGTCTGGCTGATCTCTGGGGTTGACTGTGGTATTCTTGTAGCAGTAGGTAGGATTCGGTTTTACGATAAGTTCTGCTGGCCGAACTACGGCACACGCGTCTGTGGGTGATCCCCCACTTCAGTCCTTATCACAAAATGTGGTACATAAATGTTGCTATATATAGTTTATTTTTAAAAAATGTTTTTAGATTACAAATGTTTTAATCACAAAACGAGGTACCATATATAAACTTTTTTCTTTTTAGTCCTGGAGTACTGGCTTTGAGCTTAGATTGATCTTTTCTTGCCTACCATGCCTGACATGTTTTTGAATACGTGGGCAGCGTTTTACAATTACTTTGTGGTTAATTCCACCGTTAATTGATTTATGAGCAAAAAAACCTTTTCAGCCTAATGCTGACTCAGGACAGAGCCATCGTGTGTGCTCCAGTTTGTTGAAGAAATTTAGTAAATACCAGTTGAAACCACATGGTGACTATCCCACAATGTTTAAATCAACGCATGTTTGATGTGAGTTTTTAAAAATGTTTCATTACCTTGAATAAAAATTAACCTTGCTATATGTAAGAGGCAACTACAGGTAAATTTTAAAAATTAAATTCTTCAAACATTTATTACCGTTGGAAGTATGAGGTCTAAATTTTATTTAAACAGTTAACGTGGCAGGTGAAGTATCTCAGCGGCACAGCGCCTGCCTAGTCAAAAAGAAAGTCCCAATATCAAAAAAAAGTTAATGCAAATTAAACATTCATGTTAAGATAGTTTTTCTTCTGGATTCAGTCAGGATTGCAAGAATTTAAAAGGAAATTACTTTCTCATTAAATGGTTCATGTTTTACTATATTCTTTTACTTCTAAAATAATTTCCTGTAATAATGAGGTACATGATTTTTTAGTTTGTCATTTGATTATTGTTTTAGTTATAATTTTATACCCGTTCTTTTTCAGCATTACCAGCGTAACTTTTCAGTATTAAAAGTTCTTAGAGATTTTTCTCTCTCTAAGTTCACTATGGTTTTATGTCCTTTAGGAAAGAAGAGATTACTCAAAGAAACTCTGAAGCACAGAACCCACTTGTACTGAGTTTTTGCTAAGCTGTTTCAGTCCAGAATGGCTAAGGATTCCAGTGTAATTTCAACTCTGATACCTCAGGATCATCAGGAACAAGGATTACTGCTAGTGAAAATAGAAGATAGCTTTTCCTGGAGTCCCAAATTTAAACAGAATGGGGATACCCAATCCTGCCAAGAACTGTTTCGACAGCAGTTCAGAAAGTTTTGCTACCACGAGACACCTGGGCCCCGGGAGGCCCTTTGCCGACTCCAGGAGCTATGCTATCAGTGGTTAATGCCAGAGTTGCACACAAAGGAGCAGATCCTGGAACTCCTGGTGCTGGAACAGTTCCTGAGCATCCTGCCTGAGGAGCTGCAGATCTGGGTTCAGCAGCAGAGTCCAAGAAGTGGTGAGGAAGCTGTGACCCTGTTGGAGGATTTGGAGAGAGAGTTTGATGATCCTGGGCAGCAGGTGGGAACGGAGAGAGGATGTGTGCTCAGAAAAGGAATTTAGCCTGAAGGACATAGTGTCCTAACAGTAGGATGAAAAGTTATTTGTATGTTTCTACATGACCCTGAAGTGACTGACAGGGTAATACCTGCCTTTACCCTTAAGTAATTTTCCCCCTTCCCCTTCATCTGTTAGTGACCTGTTGGTTTTTACTAAGCAGTGTCCCTAATATTCTTCACAAAGCTAATGATATTTTCTGGATTTCAGGTCCCAGCTAATCCACAGGGACCAGCAGTGCCCTGGAAGGAGTTGGCATTTCTTGGAAGCTCCCACGAATCAGCAAACATCCAACTCCAGCCTTCAGAGACACAGCTGAAATCCTGGAAACCTTGCCTTTCCCCTAGAAGTGGTGAGGAATGGGAACTTGACTGGGAACTCATAGCAGTTAGGCCTCTGGTTTTGAAGATGCAGAATGAACTATATTTACCAACTTGCCACATGTGAGCATCATGCTTATATTTCTAAGCCTGAAGTGCTCAGGTCAGCAGCTCTGTGGTTGTCAGCCTTCATGTAGTCAGCCCTCCTTGTGTCGGTTTCTGCAGTGCTGATACATGTTTGATACTGTTGTGGGCAGCTACACCTATGTGATGGTAAACCTTCACGGAGCTGTTGGGTCTAAGTGAGTAGCGAACAAGCTAAAACATTGTTGCAATCAGTATAGTAAACTGGAATAGTTTACTATAGGAACTGATATTATGGGACCACAGATGATGGCACTTGATCCAGTCTTACAGGTTCAAGGAACATTTCCTGCAGGAAGAGTCACCTAAGCTAAGATTTGAACTAGAAGAGTAGAAAGAAGCCAAGTAAACAGGTGGAAGGATGAGTGGCTTAAGCGAAGCTACAAAGTACTGAGTTGTAGGCAATTCACTTTAACTTTAGAGAATTCATAGGGACTAGAGAGAGACTTAGAAAAATGGGACTTGTGAAAACTTGTATGTCATATTAATTCATGTGAACAGTTTCTTAAGTTCAGAGGAGTTTAGTTGCACAGAGCATGGCACAGAGCAGTAACATGGTTGGATTTAATGTTTATCACGTAGCTGCAGAAGAAAGAATGTATGTAAGGAAGGCAACACTAGAGGCTTGGTAGAGATTTCTAACTCAGGTGCCCACAATAAGTAAATCAACTTATGGTAGGGGATGGGGAGCATCAAAGCTGAATGCTTTTCATCATCATTAAAATCACACTGCACTTAGGTCATTGTTAAAAAGCAGAGCGTGAGGAAGAGGCCTTTAAGGCAAAGCTCAGGTTTTAGTATTAAACAACCTGGTTAATAGTGGTGCCCTTTAAGTAGTCATCTAAATGAGAAAATTAAGGAAAAACAAATATATCTAGTGATATATTTAGTTTTAGAAGTTTTAGTGATTGTGAAATAGTCACAAGAAAAATACCCAGTTGATGGAAAGGGAACCAAGAATGGAGGGGAAGGGAACGTAAAAGAATTAAGATTTGTTATATATATGTGCTAATTCCCCACAATGAATATAATCATGTATTACAAATATGTATTAATAAAAAAAATGTTTAAAGTAGATAGGAAATTAGTACCAGAAAAAAGAATAATACTATATTAGGCCATAATGAACATCATTTTTAAAACCTTCAAATTGGAAGTCGAATATGAGAGTGTGGAGTGCAATAGAATTGGAGTAAGACTGGGAGTATGAGGAGGTGTTACCTTACAGTGTAAATGGAAACTGAAACTTGAGGGGTAGAAAGTTCACACGGTGAAGATACATGAGGGCCCAGAACACTAGTATATGTTACCAGCCCTAGCATCTAAGAAGGACCAGCCACAAAAATCAGGTCCATGTGGCTGGAAGAGAATATCTCTAAAAGGTAACTGTGCTTCCCAGTGTATATGCTACAGAGGTCAGCTAGGAAAAATCCAGAAAGTCTGAATTGGATTATACAGTTAAGTTGGTAACCTTAACAAGAGTATTATCAGTGGAAGTGGTAGAGAGGAGGTTAAGGCAGAAACCAGATACAGAATGAAGATGGGCAGACACATCCCTTTCAAGAAATTTTACTGTGAATGGGAGTAAGTGAGGTTGCTTGGCAGAGATACGTAGGCAAGGAGCTTGGTTTTATTAAAAAGGTGGAAGTCAGCGCTCAGGAGGCTGAGGCGGAAGAATCACTGCAAGTTCTAGGCCAGCCTGGCTACAAAGTAAACTGAACTATGTAGTGAAAACCTGTCTCAAAAAAACAAAAAAAAAAAAAAGGTGAGAGAAACTTGAGCCTATTTAAATACTGATGAGCAAGAGTCAGTTAAGAAAGAGATTGAAAATACTAGAAATACTAGGTAATTGATCCAGGCTCAGAGAAAGCAGAAAAAGATAAAATCTAAAGTGTAGGCGTTAGCATTACAAAAGATGACTGTGGGCTAGCTGAAGAAAAATTACAAGTGAACAGTGACATCATTATAGGTTAAATCTTCTATTTTCTTACATGTAGAAAATGAATATTTAGAGTAACTAAAGAAATGTAAAATCTAAGCAGGCAGTTGTGAGTTCGATCCCCGGTAACGATAAAAAGGAAAAAGCCAAAAAAAGAAACGTAAAATGTGAAATTTTTGCTATGTATCATTTCAGAATGTGAAGACAGTGAGATAGCAGCAAAGAAGAACCTTTCAGGAGAAAAACCAGAGGCCCTCTCTCAGGACTCTTCATTTCGAGGAATTGCTGGGCATGAACACAATTTACAGTGGCAGCAAAGAAGGGCTACAGGGGAAAAATTAAGACGATCCCCTCCCCATGCGAGCAGTTTTAGGCAAGTGATTGTCACACACAAATCTTCAGGAAAGAGAGACCATCTTGATGACCCTCAGAGATGCTTGATTTTAAATACAAACTCTGTAACAAGTCAGAAAGTGGCTCCAGAGGAGAGACCTTACAGATGTGATACATGTGGGCACAGCTTCAAGCAGCATTCTTCTCTAACACAACATCAGCGGATCCATACAGGAGAAAAGCCCTATAAATGTAACCAGTGTGGGAAAGCCTTTAGTTTGAGGTCCTATCTTATTATTCATCAAAGAATCCACAGTGGTGAGAAGGCATACGAATGTAGTGAATGTGGAAAAGCCTTCAATCAGAGCTCAGCCCTCATTAGACATCGGAAAATTCATACTGGTGAAAAATCTTGCAAATGTAATGAGTGTGGCAAAGCGTTCAGTCAAAGTTCTTACCTCATTATACATCAAAGAATTCACACTGGTGAGAAACCCTATGAATGTAATGAGTGTGGAAAAACCTTTAGCCAGAGCTCAAAGCTTATTAGACATCAGCGAATTCACACAGGAGAACGACCTTACGAATGCAATGAATGTGGGAAAGCTTTCAGGCAGAGCTCAGAGCTGATAACCCATCAGAGAATACATAGTGGAGAGAAGCCCTATGAATGTAATGAATGTGGAAAGGCCTTCAGTCTAAGCTCAAACCTCATTAGACATCAGAGAATTCACAGTGGAGAGGAACCGTATCAGTGTAATGAATGTGGCAAAACCTTCAAAAGGAGGTCAGCCCTTGTTCAGCATCAGAGAATCCATTCTGGGGATGAAGCTTATATATGTATTGTGTGTGGGAAGGCTTTCAGGCACAGATCAGTCCTTGTTCGCCATCAGAGAGTCCACACTGTAAAGTAAATTGTGAGTAGTGTCAATATTGTAAATACTCCAGTCAGATTTTTATTTTTGTTAGCCAGACAGGTTTATTTGGGAACATGATTCCTTCAGAGTTGTAAACTAATGGATCTTGAGTCATTCTAGCTTTGTGCAGCATTTCCCAATGTTAGTGTGACCTGTCCCTGGAAAGTTTGTCCTGTGATTAACCAGAACAGGTAATGGGAGAATCATTACTTTCCAGCTTTTCTTTTACTGTTAGAAATACTCAGGAAAGAGGAGAAAACAGGCATATAATGTTGATGTCTCATTTTCTATCAAAATGTCATGAAAAGGGTGTGGGGATGTAGGCTTTGTTATCACTGCTGATTGTGAGTGCCAGGTTTGGGACATAATGTAGACATAGTATAGTGTAAGGGACTTTGTCTCAGTTTAAAGTTTACTGGACCAATTTAGAATAGGGACACAGCAGCAGGAAAGGTAGGAAAATAGGGTTGTGTTAAATCCAGAGCAGGTCAGAAATTAAATAGGCATGGAAGAAATAATACTAATCAATTTACCCAACAGTTATTTTTTTGAGTACTTGCTTTGTATCAGACTAGACTTAAGTGGAAAATAATACCTATGACCTAATGGGCAAGGCAGCCATTAGACAATGACATAATGGTATGATCAGTACTTTGTGATTTTTAAGGAGCTCCTGACTCAGCCTTAGGTAACGAAGTGGCAAAGATGACATGTAAATTGAGTACAGATTAATAAGGGAGGAGCTGGTCCACGGGAATATGTTCCCATTAGAGAGAACAGCAGATAAAGGCCACAGAGAAAGTGTGAAATATTTCCTACTAAGTTCTTTTTGAGTTCAGAGTCACATCTGTAAGAAATATGGGTGTTGCCAGACTCTGAAGTAGTGCCTATAGCAAAATATAAACCAGTTGAAAAGTTTCTGTTCATAGACAAAACCTGGAGCCCATAGACCACGGCATTGTAAGTTTTTGTTGCTCAGTGCGACCAAGGAGAAGAACTAATAGCTGATTTGCTTTCTTAATCTATAGGATAGGCTGGAATTTCCTAGGAGAGTTGGGTATAGATACATAAAAAATCAAGCCTTGATACTGAGTCCTTTGGAGGTTTGACTCTCCCTCTCCTAAATATAAGTCTTGTTTGTTTCTTAAGACTATATTGGACTTGCTGTCAGATCAATCCCCAAGGCTCTGAGTTGGGAGCTGCCGTATCATTTATTTCTGGGGGGATAACCCACAATTCCTGTTGTACTTGCTTGGGCTCAGGTGCTTAAAAAATACTTCTGAATAACTCAAGAATGACTTATTCTTCGAGCACCTCCTACATTGTTTTGTCTTAATAGCAACTGTATTTTACAGCATCTTCTGCAAATTTTATTAAAGATGGTTCTAAAGGGAAATGATAACACGAGATAACAATCATGTTCTATCAAGATTTCCCCTCTCCTAAGGTGCCTAATGTTGATTCCTGATGTGATGTCAGGTGGAAAGTTGTATACTAATCAGGCACCTATTCTGTTGCCTACTATGAGGTGGAAAGTTGTACATATTAGCAGTGAAAAAGACATTGTAGGGCTGAGGGTATATACCTCAGTGGTGCAGCGCCTGTCTCTGACAAGTGTAAAGTCTAGTTCGATTCCTATTTCCCATAAAAAGAAAAGAAAAAGACATCATCCAATAGTCCTAAGTTGAGAGGAATAATGTACCAAAAATCCGTGTAGAAATCCAGAATTCTGTGCATAGAAAAATACTTTGCATGAAAATACATTACTGTGCTAGCCAGTAAGAATTGTAAGAGAACTAAACACCCATGTTTGAAGGGAAATGAGAAAAGAATTGTATCATTTAGAAATATAAAAATGTAACAGAATATATGAGCTGCATAACACTTGTTCCCCAAACTGAAAAAGAGGATGTTAAACAGGGATTAATATACTGCAAAAGGAAAACACTAGAAAGCTCTTACATATGTCAGTAAGAAATGTAAGAGGTACTTCCCACGGGTTTTTTGTGTATGCATTAGTTATTTCTTACTGCAGCCCATATTTTGTAAGTGAGAAAATGCAGGCTAAAGGTCATAGCCGAAAAGTGGTAAACTCAGATTGAATTCAACTCTTAACGGAACCACTTTATCCTGCCTGACCATAAAAAATCCCAATAGGAAAATTGAGTAGACAAATCACAATTAGACTAAGTGCTACTGGACAGCAGTTTATGCTCAATCTTGGCAAAAAGTGTATTGAATCAAGACTTTGGGCACATCCAAACTGATAGATGCAGGGAAATTGGGACTGGCTTGCTGCAGTGGGATGTGAATAGACAGTATCTCTGGCAATCGGTACCAGAAGCCTTAAGCATTGCCTTTTATTGTTTTGTTTTGTGTTTTTTTGTGGTACTGGGGATCAAACTCACGACCTTGTGCTTGACAGTCAGGCGCTTATGCCACTGAGCTAAATTCCCAGCCCTAAGCATTCCCTTTGATTTCAAATTCTGCCTGGAAATGTATTTCAGAAGTCATTAAAAGCTGTTAAACCTGGTGTTGATTAGTATTAAAAGAAATTAAGCATTCATGATATATTAAATATTACAAGATAATATGTACAATATGATCCATGTAAAATATATATTTATGCATTAAAATACTGGAAATACAGTCTTTTTTTTTTTTTTTTTTTTGGTACTGGGGATCGAACTCACAACTGCACACTTGCAAGGCTGGTGCTTATGCCACTGGGCTAAATTCCCGGCCCCTGAAATACAGTCTTAAGGTGCTATACTGATTATCTCTGGATGGGCGGTATAGGTAACAATGTTTTATTGTGTTTTTACGGATCCTAAATTTTTTGGCAGTATTTAATATTCAGAATTAGACAAGGGGACTGCAGGTGTAAGTCAGTAATAAGAGTGCATACTTAATGTGTTCTGTCCCCAGCATCGAAAAGTTATTTATTTATTTATTTTTGAGAAAAAGTGATTGGAAGCATAGGACAGTTGGGAAAATATTCAAAACCAACAAAAACTTGTTTTCTGTAGTATCTCTGTTCTAAGTCTCAGTTTGTTAGCAAACATAACTCTGATCCTCAATTGCATTACCATTTTCCCTCCCTCCCTGGTGACTGAACCCATGGCTTGGTGCTAACTAAGCACTTTACCACTGAGCTATATCCCTCACCCCAGTTTCATCAATAAAACAATGGTAGACTTGACCACCTCAAACATAGTATTTGAAAAGTCCTCTGCAGATTATAAGCCTGTGCAAATACAAGTACCTGAGGATTGATGGTTGATAAAAGCAATAATCCTTCAAGTGTTCAAGACTTCCGGTCACTAATGCTTTCCCATGAATTCTGCAGCTGTAAGCAAGTCCCCTTGCAGGTCTGCAATCTTACCTGAAAGGAACTGAAGATGGGCTTTTACCGTCAAAAGTTCAACACTTCATGAAATGGGTAGTTTTCTTTCACCAACCTTTTCTGGAAGAGCAGTTCATGCCTTTCTCCTCATCAGAGCTGTCTTCTCTTGGTAATAGAGATATTCTAGGGGGTTCCAGTGTCTACTTTAAATGGCACTTACAGGAATTTTTTAAAAGAAAATTAAGCCAAATGCTTAAATATCACTTTTCTCACTTGCCTTCTCCCTCATTCCCACAACCCACTGTCTGAGAGGATTAAGGGAAAGCAAATCTGACCCTGGTCTCTAAGCTTCCCTTTCTGTGGAGGACCTGCTGAGGGAGAAGGGACAGTCAGAGCAATGTCCCAGGTTATTAGTCCTACTTGGCAGGTAGTGCTAAGAGCTGCAGTCTGACATGTATGATCCCCCAAGCAAAGGAAAGGGAAAATCCTAACTCTGGACATAGAATGTGTGTTTGAAGAGACTTAGTCTCATGGTTCCTCCACAACTCAACCCTGAATGTCCATTTTGTGACAGATTCCTTCCTGCAAATTGGCTGTCATCGTCTTCTGATGTTTTTTTGCCCAGGGAATGAAAAATGAAAAAAACAAAATACCACCCTTCTGACTTCACACACCCCTTTCCTTCCCCCTTATCCTCTCCCCACACTCATTACTGTGTTCCATATTTGTGAATAATAATTTCAAGAAACCTTTAAAACTCATTTTATTACATCTTACATTACATTCTGATATTGACCAGTTGAAGTGTATATTCAACATAAATATTAGTTAACAAAAATTATTTACTAGACAAGATTTTTACCAAAATTATTAGGTATGCTAATAGAAAAAATATTAATAGAGAAAAAATACTAAGAAATAACCCAAAATGCTAACTGTTCCTCTGGATAATGGGATTACAGATGTTTATACTTTCTGTGTTACCAGCATTCATATTTAATTCACAATTGGGCAATAACATTAAATCTTTTAATAGGAAAGGCAACTCACTATCCCCTTGAATTCCTTTAAATAAATTTAGGATTGATTTTGCTCAGTGGTAATTTACACAGCTTTTGAATACAAACACTCAATTGCATCTCCCCTATTACCCACAATAGCTGATCACCAAATTCTCCAAAATGACTGCTACTGGGATTGTCTTCAGGAACTGTGGGTTAATTAAACCTGCCCAAATCAAAACTAGCAGAAATCATTAATCCCTAACAAATATTCCCCTCAAGTGGCTTAAGAGTGAATCTGGTGCTGAGAGAAAGGGGAAGGGAGTGGGGAATAGTGGGGCCTTAGAAAGCAGAATTCCCATTACTGTGTTCCTGCAATCTTTCCATTTCAGCCCTAAGGCAATGGGACACAAAGATTCCATCTTCCACTCTTCTTCCAGACTCCAATGTGTATTTTTTTCTTGACATGTATATGCCGCTTCCATAAAATGCACTAGTCGACCACATTAATTCAGAGGATGCAAAGGCCTCAGAGCTCACCTGATAGGTGATAGTGATTATAAACAGGAAGAGAAACGTACAATTGTTCTGGCTTCTGAGCCACAGTATGAAAACTCCTGCTGGAGTGGAATCCTAATGAAAGGATGTTTCCATATATGTTCTCCAACCTCTGCTCTTTCTTCCCCTGTGCCCTTTACCTGGTTAACTTTCTACAATTTAGGTTTTAACATCCAGGAACTCTTCAGTGACTAATAGACCAGGTAAAATATCCCTGCTGTGTACTTTAACAAAAGCCCAGATTTATCTTAGCAAAACACTTACCATACTTTACTATGATTGCTCATTTCTTAAATAGGGATGTCCCTTAAGCATTTAACTAACAGTCGATGGGAGGGCAGTGTCAGTGTCTGCCCTCAGTGGCTAAACCTAGCAGGTGCTCAACAAAAAATATCAGAATTCACTTCTGCAGGAAGCCCAATGCTGCAGGAAGAATTAGCAAGGGGCAGAATGAGCCACCATCTCTTGAACAGCCTTAGATACCTTTAAACTGATCAAGGGCATAATTCAACATTTCACATGCCACACAATTCAACTTAGCACATGCTTCCACTTGCAGAATACACAAATGCCCTTGCTGGGCAAAGATCCTTTTTGTATTATAAGGTATCTGTCCCAATCCTGGACTTATTATGAAGGTACCTAACGATTTGAAAGTGGAGAGGAGGTCTTTATCCTAAAATCAGTTCTAGGACATACCTACCATTCTTCCATTCAACACTTAAACCATCCTATTATTGTGTGGATCTCCTCTTGTAGTACTGAACTGTGCAGGGTTCTTAAGAAACTTCAGTGAGTCTTTTAAAAAATTCTTAAAATAGAGTTAGCACTCATTCCACAATTGCACAACTCTTACCCACGATGTTAGACTCTGGTGTGTGTTCTCTGATGCCGCATAAGGGCTGACCTATGCCTAAACGTTTTTCTACATTCACTACATTCGTAAGGCTTCTCCCCAGTATGTATTCTCTGGTGTTGGGTGAGTGCTGAGCTCTGATTAAAGGATTTTCCACATTCGTTACATTCATAAGGCTTCTCTCCAGTGTGAATTCTTTGATGTTCAATAAGGCTAGAGCTCCTCCCAAAAGCCTTTCCACATTCAGTACATTCATATGCTTTATCTCCAGTGTGAATTTTCTTATGCTGAATAAGGGCTGAACTCCGGCTAAAGGCTTTCCCACATTCAGCACACTCATATGGTTTCTCTCCAGTGTGAATTCTCCGATGCCTTGTGAGCTCTGAGCTGCCCCTGAAAGCTTTTCCACATTCATGACATTCATAGGGTTTTTCACCCGTGTGAATTCTTTGATGTTGAATAAGACTAGAGCTACGCCCAAAAGCCTTTCCACATTCAGTACATTCATATGCTTTATCTCCAGTGTGAATTTTCTTATGCTGATTAAGGGCTGAACTCTGGCTGAAGGCTTTCCCACATTCACCACACTTATACGGCTTCTCTCCAGTGTGAATTCTCTGATGCCCAATAAGCTCTAAGCTGCCCCTGAAAGTTTTTCCACATTCACAACATTCATAGGTTCTTTTACCACTGTGAACTCTCTGATGTCTAATGAGATCTGAGCTCAAACTGAAAGCTTTGTCACATTGTGTACATGCCTGAGGTCTCTCTCCAGTATGAATTCTCTGATGTCTAGTCAGCTTTGAACTCTGGCAAAACGTTTTCCCACAGTCAAAGCATTCATAGTGCTTCCCTGTGTGAATTTTATGCTCCATAATTTCATTTGACTCAAAGATGCTCTGTTCTGCAGGGATTTTCTTGCTGAAGGTTGCCAAACTAACCTGTGTTTCCTGGGAAGAGAGCTGACTCACTGTGTTCCATGCAACACTTCCCCTCTGCTTCTCAGCATTGTCCAGATGTCCCAAATCTTCAACTATCTGTCCTGAAGCAGTTTCACCACGGAGCCTTCCTGAGGATATCAGAGCTGCTGATGCTACACTTTCAATAATTTCTTGTTTTACTGTCAACACTTCGTCATTCACCATCTTGCCATCTAAAAATGTGAACAGAAAATGCAAGTGTCATTCTGGCACCAGAAAGTTGTTCCTCATTGAGGAACAGCTGGGCACTTCAGTGAATGTCTGCTACCAGGCCATGCCTCATCCTCCAGAATAGGACGAGGACCTCATTCCTGGCAGTAGGGGAAGACATGGCACCCTCCTGCAGCTGCATCCCTTCCATGAGCCTCAGGAGCAGAGACGCCCTTTGTTGTTCCTGCACACTTCAGAGTTTCATTTTTAATTACATTACTTAGTGGTTAATGAACCATGGCCAATTTAATAGCCCTCTCCTCTCTCAACTGTAAATGGAAAGCGGTCCTTACCTTTCTCACAGAAAGCCTGAGGCTCCTGAGTCTCATTCTTACACTGGTTCTCCAAGGGCTGTGGTAAGCTGCACAGTGATGTGGGTTTCATTTCCTTCCAGACCATTTCCTGGTGACCATCTGAACCCTAGGAGTAATCAAGTACCAGCACTATGATTCTGAGGCTATGCATGATGAAAATGCCTAGAGCAACAGGATAGGTCAGGAAGAATCAGAAGCTTGTTTAGATGATTAGAGAGAAAACAACAGCACTAAAAGCTCTTGTAACTTGAACCAATAATTAATACACTAAAAGACAAAGTTGAATAATTCTCTGAGAGCCCAGTCAATGCCATTCACAATGGCATTAACTTACAACAGGTCAAAAAAGCAAATAAAAATATCTACTTCTTACCTGTTGGCTTGGTCCATCAAATTCTCTCTCCAGCTCCTCCAGCAGAGTCACAGCTTCCTCCCCATTCTCTGGCCGGTGCCTCTGCATGCAGGCTTGTAGCTCCTGGGGCAGGATGGCCAGGAACTGCTCCAACACCAGAAGCTCCAGGATCTGCTCCTTGGTGTGTGCCTCTGGCCTTAGCCACTGACAGCAAAGCTCCTGGAGTTGTCTCAGGGCCTCCCGGGGCCCAGCAGAGTCAGAGTAGCCAAACTGCCTGAACCGCTGGCGGAAGACTTCCTGACTCTGGGAGGCTTCCTGAAGGACACAGTCCTTCCCCCAGACATAATTTTCTTCTTCAACCTTCACAACTGTAAGTCCTTCTTGTTCTCTTGCAGCACAGTGGGCCAACACTGTGGCCTCTCCTGACATTCTGGGCAGAGAGAGTTGAAAACCCTGCCCCACTGAGGCAGACAGTTGGTGGACGCTTGGGTCTGAAGAGTCCTTCTGAATTCCAGCTCTTCAGGATGTCCCTGAGGCCGATAGTGCTCATGTTACACAGGTGCTTGGAAAGTAAATACAAGTTTCTGAATGCCAGTTACCAGGGAACACAGCATTGTAAAGAAAACTGTCTAACAGACAACTTCCATATAAATATCTTACATGATTTAGGATGTTTTCAGGATGTGAAACAAAATTTTGGTATTTCTGAAATCAATTTAGTAATAAAGTTAGGGACATTAGGGATAATAAATAGTGCTTCATAAGGACAATTGCAATTATGTTCATTCACCAAATGAAGCTACTGAGACTAAGCTAATCAAAGCCACACAGGCAGTGAGCAGTGCAACAAATTTCTGCAGATAAAATATTTAATTCTTGCCAGTATGGAATGGGTTCTCCCCCAAAAAAGGGGAGAAAGTGTACTTAAACATTTACTATAGGCCAGGCAGCTTACAAATGCCACTTTATTGGGGACTCTAAGTAACAGCTCAGTATTATCATCCTCATGTTTAACAGATAAAGTAACAGCTTCTTAAAAGTTTATGAATTTTTCCAAGGCCCCAAAATAGTCAAAGATATAAGTACTTCCTTTTATTTCAGATGGATTAATTATGCTCAGGACAATCGATTGTTCCTGCAAATCTGGAATGATGGTGAAATGTTAGGAAAGGACCAGAGAGAACAGCTACAAATGTACAAATGAGGAAAAATTATTTTGGACTTTAAAAGTTCTGACATAATACAAAGAAAAAAGAAGCAGATTCTTTCAACTATTTTTTCAACAAATACTTGCAACAAATATTTGCTATTTGTAGGCAGTGTAGTAAGCAAGTATCTCAGGATACATGTTTGGTCTCCAGTCACTCCCGGTTAAATCTGGGAAAATGACAAGTGAACACATAGAGAGATTAATCCAAGTACAGGAAGCACAAGGAAAAGACCACTGACCAAAAGCAAGAACAGAAGGGCTGAAAGAACCAGAGAGAGCTGCTTGGAGAAGACATTGCAGCAGTCTGAGCTGAGTGTGCCAAAGATGCAGAGGAAGTTTGTTCAGGCAAAATAAGAGGGGGTATGACAGCACATGGTCCACTGAAGAAATCAGATGTGGTTTGGAGGGGCTGGACTAATGGCTGTCACCTCTGGCCACGGCTCAGAGGCAGCCATGCAGCATCAACCCATGACAGATTCACTGAGCCACAATCGCCAAGGTAGGGGCTGCAGTGTGTCTCAAGTGCTTCTGATGTGCAACCAAGTTAAGAACCCTGCTCTAGAGCCTAGGGAGTAGTTAAGGAGCAGTTCAAGAAGAGGCTCATGTAGAGTAGCAGGCAGCCCATCAAGGATCTAGGATGGGTCAGGGGATTTCTAAGGCCACAGGAATGTCTGAGAGAGTGATGTGGAAAAAGAGATGGAAAGTTTGTTACAATCATTTGGTCAGTAGACAATGTGGACCTCAGCAATAGGAGCCAAAATATATAAACAGAGGAGACTTGACAGGACATCGGAGCACACTAGAAAGGGCACAGAAGCAAGAACAGTGAAGGGCTCAAGTTTCTGGCCATCCCTGATGACTGAAGTATGTGTGCAAGTGTCCTTTGCTCAACTATCCATTAAGAAAGTTAAATTTGAGATACCCATGAAGCAGCATTTCCTAAACTACACTTTGTCAGATATTAAAAATGTTTTCTATACTCCACAAAGAGTCTTGGTGATGAGGTTAATATTTTAGTATACCTAAATACATTTCTTTAGATTTTGTTCAAAAATAGTATTCTCCTTCACACTCATGTTTGTTGACAGGGTTAGCCCAGCCCTTTTCATTTATTTTGAAACAGGGTCTCTTAACAGCTGGTCTCAAGCTTTTAATCCTCCTTGCACAGCCTCCCAACCAGCTCTTTAGGTTTCACTATGTAGCAAATGGCATGTAAGAAATCAAGAGAAGATGCACTGTCAGATCTATGCTTGGATATGTGAACAACGTTTACCAGGGCCACATCCCATTGACTTGGGTCCTTCACTTGGCGACCACTAATCTATGTTATGTTTTGGGGCTGGAGATACAGCTCCGTGGTTTAAGTGCCTGCCAAGCACAGGGTCCTGAGTTTGATTCCCGGTACCAAAAATAAAATAAAATAAAATAACCTGTTATGTTCCTTGTCTTTTAATTCCTATGTTTCTGATATTATTCAATTTTTATTATAAATAATATGCTTCACCAACTTGTCCATGGTTGTGTGGCCAAGAAAAGTTCATAATCATAAAAACCATCTCCACCTCCTTCAAAGGGCCACTTCCCTCTATATTATAGTTCCCTAAGTTTAGTCTTAAATGCTCCCTATTTTCATCTGATTTAGACCTCCATGTGCTCCAGATTTATTTATACTGTTGATTACTCTCACAACTCCTCTTGAAACTTCTCAAACTTGGTACATTCAAAACCAATTCATGATTTCTCCTATCTCAAACTGCTTTTTTCCAGTTGTTCCCACTCAGATAGTAGGAATAAGCATCGTGAAGGAATTGCTAACAAAGTCCTGTCTCTCTACCTCCTTCATTTAACGTGAAGGAATTCCTAACAAAGTCCTGTCTCTCTACCTCCTTCATTTAATGCTAACTGAGTTCTACTGATTTTATTTCCTATCTCTAAACTCTGCCCCTCCTCCTTTCTGTCATCACCATGCAGCCATCTAATGTGTCGCAATGCACAAAAAGTCACCAGCTGGCTTCCCCACATGTATTCAGTCCCCATGAGTCTGTTACCTTTATTGCAGCCAGTGATCTTTTCCAAATTGTAAATCTGATTGTGTCCCTTTGACTAGTATTTTTCTTTTTAGTGACTTAAAAATAATCTTCCTCACAATCATATTTGGTGACGGGGTTAGCTGTTGTTTTCAACGTTTGATCTCTCAGGTGGTTGTAATTGGTCATCAGCGACGTTGGAGACACCTTATGGTTCCACGGGCATGGTTATCCATGACTTATTGTCCACTGGTTAATAACTGATGTCAGCTAATGGCAGGAAGCTCTGCTGGAGCTACAAATAGGAATGCTTACACATGATCTCTCCATGTGCCTCTGACCAGTTTTCTAAAGGCCAAACCAAAAATATTTTAGCCAAGGTGATGCTCTCTTTGACTGGACTCATTTCATTGGGATGCACTCCAGCCTAGTCTGAATCTCCTAACACTTGTATTTGTAATACATTCTATGAATTATTTGGCTAATACTTACACAATACATCCTATATATAAGAATGAATGGAATTATTGTCAGAAAAATAATTTCAGAGAGGCAATGACTAATGCAGTATTGTCAAATTCCTAAAGTGGACTACAAATGTCCGCACAGCATCTTGTACTATAACAAAGTAATCCAGCTCATAGAAAGAGCACCAGCTTTGGACTCAGGTGACCCAAATTAAAATCACGGTGCAATCTCTTCCTAGGTGTGTGGCATTAGTCACCAACCAAACCTTTCTGAGATTTCATTTCCTCTCCTAAAAGTGGAGCTAATAATGTAACGTTACAGTTATAGGATTTAGAAATAACATTAAACATAGTACTGTCTGGTGTATTAAACATGTCTTTATTTCAAAGCTTTGACATCTGGGTCCTTAATGACATTCGATGTCACACCCAAGGCTAGTTCACTTCCTAGAAATGGCAAACAACTCACCTGCAAGCATGCCTTTCAAATGGAAACCAACAGACCCAGAGACCACTTCACCACTACCTTCCCTATCAAGTGCTCATCCTAAATCAGGGCAAGGTACCAACAGACTGGAGATACCTTCAAAGCCCTGGAGTCCACTGAAACTTTTCGAAATAGCCAAACTAAACTTGCTTTACCTAGCTCGATTGTTCCTTTCCATAGGAACCAGAGTTTAGTAAAAGCTCTTGCTACTACTCTCCCCTCAGTCCCTATGCCTCCAGTGGTGCTTCCCTGCCAAAGCATGCACCCTGATCTTGAAAGGTGAAAGAAGCAAGCTATCTTTTCAACAATAATCATCTCTTGATCTAGTCTCACAACACCTGAATAACAAAATCTACATTTTAAAACAATTGGGGCAGACTGAGTACCCAAGGCGTGATAGAGGTGAGACAAGGTAAGTGCAAATTCCACATCGCAAGGTACAGCTTACAGAAAAGGTTTTATTGGGGAAGTACACAACCCGGTAAAAAGAAGCACAGGTCCCTTGTGGTCCATCACCCCATAAAAGAGAAACCTGGAGAGAAGTGCTTTGATGTTTAAGGGGAGAGGTCCAACAACTTTGTGTGCAAATTTGAGAAAACAGCCCTCTCAATGTAAATATAAACCAAATGTTTTGGATCAGATGTGTAGATTTAGCTGTCACTTGTTTATGAAGTAATCGAGGAAACCAGTCACCTAGCACCAATGGAGGATAGTGTTGGTACAGTGGAAAACCCTGAGCTTGGGTACAAATCCCTCCCTCTGGGAAAAGGCAAATTCCTGGTTCTGCCCTCCCAGTAACCCAGAAGAAACCTCCAGGGCACTTCTAGACAATCTCGCAGTAAGGTATCTGCGTTATAATGTAATATAATGTTTGCTTAGTTGTCATAGAAAACACCAACTGAGCCTTTATTACACATTCCAGCAGCTGCTTTAAGCGCTATTAATTCACCGCTATCTTCATGTCGTTCTAGGCGTAAGCTGAACTGTTGGGGAAAAAAAAAAAAAAAACGCATGCAGTTTGTTCCAGGAGTCTGTAAGTGATGGAGTCTAGTCTGTTCCTAAATCAAATGGTCTGATGCCTAGGTCCACGCTCTTAAGATGCCTGTCCCGTTTCACACCCGCATTCCCGACCAAATCAAAGCGCCCTTTAGCTTCCAAGAGGGCCTGCGTTTTTTCATACATTTCTTAATGTTTGCTGAGGGCCAATTTGTGCAGTCACTGAGCTAGGTGTTAAGCAAAGTTATGAAGACAGTATCCTTTGCCATTACAACTTAAAAGTAACGCGAGGCACGCCACTAAGTAGAAGGCACACAAAAATTACCTAACTCGGGTTTTTAAACCTACAGAAAGGTGTTCTCTGAGGGTCTGATTAAAGATCTGGTCCAAACTGGGGAAGCCAAGACGGATGGCTGAGCCCTGACCCAAGAGTGAGCTCTGACCTGTGCGGCGGCGGAGGCCCGGCACGCCCGCGGCGCCGGTAATTGCTGCGGAAGTCGGTGGAGCGCAGGGCGGCGGAGGAAGCACTGCAAGTATGGGCGGGCGGACTGCCGGCTGCCCAGACCAGGCCGACCGCTGGTACACCCACAGGCTCCACCCGTGGCGCAAGCAGGGCGAGGGCTTCCGAAATAATTTAGTAAGCACTCGGGACGGGCTGCCGGAACTCCCCACTCACACTTCCCTCTGCTGGCCGCGCGCGCCACCCCACTGCGGAGCCGGACGGCCTCCACTACGCGCACCGGAAGTGAGGTGGGCGCGCCCCTCTAGCAAAACCGGAGGACTGTAGCCCTATGACCCGCACGCGGTGTCCGAGGAGTGGCTGTGAACACAAAATCGGGTGTTACAATTGAATCGGTCCTTGACAGAGTACTGTTACAGAAAAACAGACCAAAGGCGGGGAGAAACGGCATCAAGGAAGTTTAGGAAGCAGTTTATTACACCAACAAGCTCTCAAGAGATCTTCCCAGAGCCAGAATCTCGCCCGGAAAGTGGGCGGGGGGCGGGGAGGAAGAGGGGAAATCTGGGAATTTATTGGAAAAGCAAGGGGCGGTACAGAGGCAGATTTAGTGCATAATGATTGGTGGGTTGGCTGACATCACAGGTTGCCAAGGGAGTCAACATCTCAAGTTGCATTGCCAGGTTATCAGTTACACAAAGGCAGTAAAGACACCTCAAGTTACATTACAAGGCCATGGGCTACAAAAGGGGAGTAAAACAGTGGTTACACAAAGAAGAAAATGTTCTGTTATCAGGCATGCCCTGACATGTCCGCTGGGTTTTGGCTGGCATTCTTGGAAGGATTTCATTTAAAATTTTAAATTCCCTTTCAGTATCAAGTCAGTGACTAGAAGCGAATATTGTATTAGATTTTCAATGTATGTTCTGTATTTATGTATCCAGTAGGAAAGCTAACAGCCTCGTGAAGCTATTAATCACTTGAAGCATGGCTGATGGAACTGAGGAACTGAGTTTTTCATTTTATGGAACTTGAATTAAATTACACTTAAAGTTTTACATGTGAATAGCAGCTTACAGACTGATAATAACCCACTGAATAAAACAGATAAATACAGATTTTTAACAAAGCAAATCAAATTTTTTAAATGTCCAAATACAGACTAAAATTATCTTCCACTTTAATGAAGTTGACCAAATACGGAATGTCAAAAAAGCCTTCCATTTTAAAACTTAGTAAGGTTTATACACAGAATAGAATCAATTTGTTCATTCCTTTGAAGGAGCCAGCAAACTTTTTATTTTCTTTTGAGACAGTAATTGAGATGTAATTCAGGTTGGCCTTGAACTCACTATGTTGGTTAGGTTGGGCTGGCCTTGAACTCTCAGGGATCTCAATGCTGAGATTATAGGGATGAAACACCACACCCAGATGCAACACACTTCTTAATCTAAAGATATGCACCCGTCACCATTTAGTGAACACATGAATACAAATATCTGTCCAGAGAAGGGGAAAGTGACATAACTGTCTTGAGCTTTGATCTTTAATGTTGTGACCGTAATTTCTATAGGGCCCCCGAATGGCAGTAAATAAAAAGCTAGCAATTTGGGGCTGGGGACTTAGCTCAGTGGCATAAGCGCCTGCCTTGCAAGCAGGCAGTCGTCAGTTCAATCCCTGGTACCGATAAAAACGAAAAAGACAAAAAAAAAAAAAAAAAAGCTAGCAATTTAAGAATCACAAAAATTGGTAAGACTACTCTTGTAATCCACAAACGAGCCCCCAAACTCCAGTTTAAAAAAATGAAGCAAAAACATATTTTTAAAAAGCAGCGCTGATTTATTTTATCCTGGGCCCAGTGACACAGTGCAGTTGGACATCGCAAAAGCTGTGTGCGTTGCTCCTCTATACTTGCCACCTTTAAGTACATATCACAATTTACAAAGTAAGGGGGTCGTGGGCGTGGGTTGGGAAAACTGTTAATGAGGAAGACCTTTTTTTCCTTAGGAGAGGACAGACAGTCTAGCAGTAATTAACAACCCCTGTTAGCTTATTTTAGCATCACATCTGTTATTTGTAGAGGGCAACAATGGTTAACATCAATTAGGTAAGATTTTACAATTTTTTACAGAGGAGAGCATCGTTTAACATATGAATTAGGTCACCCAGAGTGGGCAAGAAAACACATACATTACAGGTATTTTGGTATAATAAAAGTATAACGAAGCTCTTTTTTCTAGTGTACAACAACTACAGGTCTCTCGATATTGCTTGGCAGTCATACTACTTTCTAGCTTCAAACCTTCCACAAAGACTATTTAAATAGCATTTCCATTCTATTCAAATCTTCAGTCCATCTCTCTACCGCTCATTCCTAAATGATGGTATAACAACATCTTTTTCCTTAATAAATGTAAGCTTCTGGACTGTAACAATCTCAGACTGCCACTAAAGTACTTAAGCTTGCATCCAATGTTCTGATAGAATGGAAGAAGACTTCTTCCTATTTCAAAGGCCTGTTCCTCCACCTGTGCTCTGGGTCCCATTCTTTTCACCAGCTATTCTATCAATCATACACTATCAGTTGTTCATTCTTTTCCTGTGTTATCTACTCTTGCTCCTAGAATTTTCCTGTGATTTTCACATAGTACATATTTTTTATCTTAAAAACTACCAAGCACCAGCCAACCAAAACTTCATCTCTAAACTCTACTTGCGCCTAATTTCTTTTCTCCTCTTTGGTTGAAGAAGTATCTATGATTAATTCTCCGCTCCCAGATACCCCATTTTATTTTATTCTCATGCCACTTTGATGGGAACCTTGTCCCATATTCTACTTCTTCAATCTTTTCCTCTTATTTAAATGACTTCTCTTTTGCTAAAGCCAGTCTTTTAATAGCCCTGAATCTACGACATCAACCTCACATTCCTCTGAGTAGTTTCTAATCTCTTGGGTCACTGTTCCCTGTATGCATCCCTCTCTTCTCTACCATTCTGACTGACATGTGGAGAAGGATTTTGCTTCTGAATCCCATAACCTGCCCTCAACTGTATAGGATGCAGCAAGTACTCACTGCGGGGGAAAGTGCCTGGGCAAAAAACAGATTCCAGAGGCAAGCTCTAGCACAGGCTGGAAAAGAGAACTCGACTTAGGTCTGAGTCTAAAATAAGCCCTTACTAGAATAATCCCTAAAGTTCAGATTTCTTCTAAATAATCAAGGTGATTTAGGCTCTTTCTATGGGATTCAAAATTCTTCTAGCCTTTCTCTAATGCCTGGCTCTAAGAACACTTTTTTTTTATGCCAGGAATCAAACTTACAAGCTCATGCTTAACAAGGAGGCACTGTGCCACTGAACTATATCTCAGGCTAAGAACACACTTTAAAGGTATTTATTAATACAGTAGCATTCTATCAATGTCACAAAAAAATCTGTATTTTTGTTTTTTGTATAGTTTTCTGTGCCACATTACTACTAATTTTTATTTATTTATTTATTTATTTTTGGTACTGGGGATCGAACTTAGGACCTTTCGCTTACCAGGCAAGCACTTGAACCCCGAGGTAAATCCCCAGTCTATACCACAAATTTAGTTGCTTAACATGATATGCATCTCCTTTGCCATCTAAAGAAACCTAATGAAAGGAGGAACAGCCCATCACCTTGGCCATATTCTATTGGTCAGAAGCCAGTCACAGGTTCTGATCACACTCAAGGGGAAGAGATTATACTTAAGCGTGACTAACTAGAGGTGACTATAAAGTATCTCTCAAACACACTTCTAACATATCCCTGTTGCTTTCTGTCTTCACTGTTACCACTCCAACCCAACCCACTGAAGTGGGTTTGTAAATAGTATAGGAATCCAAGCAGCCAAATTGATAAATTTTGGAATTTGATTAGGTGAGCTCAGTGACCACTTGCATAGAGTCCTGTTTCAGAGTCCAGTCAATTGACCCTGAACTGGAGGGTTACAGGACATTTAAAGCAGAAAACTGCAAAGCAAGACATCATGTAAAAAACAATTTAGCTGGAATCTTACATTAATTTTGGTTGACACCTATATCCTGCTTCTTTGTTGAGCAGGTTAATTCTCCCTCTCTCTCTCTCTCTGTCTGTCTCTCTGAGTTTTTTTGTTTTGTTTGGTACCAGAGATTGAACTCACAGCCTTACACTTGCCAGGCAGGTGCTTATGCCACTGAGCTAAATCCCCAGCCCTTAATTTTTCTCTCTTGTGGGTGCAGGTCATTCTACTTTTCCCATGGGACTTGTACTCTGAGTAATTTTTCACTATTCTGGGTCAAATACAGGGCACAAGACAGTGTCAGTTATGCCAAGCTACAACACCTACACTACATGATCAGGCTAAGGTCAAAGGCATTACTGCCTTACTAAAAACTTTTTATTGGTTCTTCATTGCTCACATGATCAAATCCAACATACTGAAAATGGCCTATCTCTGACAACTGTCTATATCTAATCACACTTCTAGTCAGAAATATTCATTTAAGATGCTCTGCCCTTGACTACGTCAACTTGTTTTCTCCTTTGGAACTGACTACAAGATGATCTCACTATTTTGACTATGTGTTTTCTGACTAATTCTTTACCTTTCAAGCCCAAGTTGAAAAATCACTTCCTTCTGGAATCTTCACTTGAAACTCCCTCCCTACTACACTAATGCAGGCACCTTCATATATGTATTATGACACTCTATGGTCATCTTCTATATAATTTTTCATTGTTGGAATTCATAAATTAATTTTTAATTGACTGTCTAACAGCTGACATCCCAAGTAGACTGTAAGGCTCACAAGGGCACTTGTATATCTATCCCAGGGACATGATAAATATTTGATGAATGTTTCAGTGCCACATGGGATGCCTACCTCTGGAATACATGATGATTTATTTTCCAAGGAAAACTCATTCATGGGTTACTTTAAGATAAATCAATTGCCAGATTTTGTCAACTTTCGTCAGTACTTTTTCGTCAGTACCTTTTGGGCTGCCTGTGAGCGAGCTCATATTCACAATGGTACTTTTTCCATTTTATGAAGATTATACTATGGTACATTGTTGTAGAATATACAAATTTCTTTTTCTTTTAAATTTTTATTTACATTTATTTATTTTTGCAGTGCTGGGGTTGAACCGAGGTCTTGTGCATGCTAAGTAAGTGTTTGACCAGTGCGTTACATCTCCAGTCATACAAATTTCTTGACTGTCAAACAAAGGGTTAATCAAAAATAGTAATTTTAGAGGAAGTCTCCTTAATAAAAACCCATGACTT